TAGTCATGCTGTCACTCTTGATGGGGGAAGTCCTGTGTATATGTCAATAAAGCACTGTTGGCCAATAGGGAACCAAGATAGGTGGGACTAGGAGTCCAGGAGGACTCTGGGAAGGAGAAACACAAAGAGTCAAGATGTAACACCATGGGGTAGGAAGCCCGGAAAGTTCTCTGGTAAGAGAAATACTTAGATTAGCAATTATGGGATAAATACTTAAGTCAGAGCTAGCCAGTAAAAAGCAAGCAAGGCCAACAGCTTCATAATTAATATAGCCTTTGTGTGTTCATTTGGGACTGATGCGGCTCTGAAACCAGGCTGGTGGGAAGGCTTCTCTTTACAACTCTTCTTTAAAAAAAAAAAAAGATTTATTTTTCTATTACGTATAAAGTGTTCTGTTTGTGTGTATGTCTACAGGCCGGAAGAAGGCACCAGATCTCATTATGGATAGTTGTGAGCCATCATGTGGTTGCTTGGAATTGAACTCAGGACCTCTGGAAGAGCTAGTGCTCTTAACCTCTGAGTCATCTCTCCAGTCCCATGCTGTCACTCTTAGAAACCACCCTAGCATCTCAGTCCCTCTGAGGAGTGACCAATGTCCCCTCTAAGTAGGCTGTTGGGACCATTTAGTAATCAGACCTCTAGGTTGATTTGGTGTTTTGTCTGCCTTTTCTCATGGCGTCTGAGGAAGAGGAGTGCTCTCCTTAAACCATACCCCCTCACCCCAGCCCTCCACCTTTCCCAAGCAGCAGGTCCCTGCCTCAGAGGGAAAGAGCAAAGCCAGGAGGGGGCTCTTGCCTCCAGACATCAGAACAGTCTGGATGGAAGATGGTAAGAGAGATCCCTGCTGAGATCTCATGGATGCCCTGGCTGTTCCCACTCTCTCTCTGTCTCTCTCTCTGTCTCTGTCTGTCTCTGTGTGTGTGTATGCGTGTACGCGCATGCCTGTCTGTCTGTCTCAGTGCTTTCCAGTGTGCTGTCTGTCACATAGAGTGCAGCCTCAAGAACCCAAAGTTCACACCCTGTTTCCTTTATGCTGAGGTCACCAGAGTTTTAAATGTCCCCACAGTGAGAACACTGGAAGCTTTCCATTGTCACCCCCTTCCCTGCCCTTGGAGGAGGACAGCTGCTTCTCTTTCTGACTGGGTTCTTCCCACCACCTTGGGCTGGTGAGAGTCTGGACTTGGTCATGAGGCCCTCAACTGCAGAGAATAATGACAAGGCATCTGAAGACCTTGTTGTCTAGGCCCCAAGGGACACTGGTGACACCTGAGTTTCATTTCCCTTCCTGCTCAAATCCTCTCAACTACTTCACAGCTCTCAGGGTGGCTGGGGAAGGACCAAGGGTCCTCAGACCTAAACTAGACATTTGCTGGCTTTTTCACCTTGTTGTAATACCTGGCCGGTGCCCAGAAGGATATGAACATCCCAGGGAGGTTAAGGGATGTGCAGTTTTTTTCAGGAGAGGGAGAAAACCAAGACTTTTTGGAGAAAGGGGTCTTTGAGCAGTACCTCAGGCCTGTGGAGGTCAAGGGTCAGTTCTCAGGAGTTTCGACAGCTAGAAGGCCCTGTATCTATCATGGCTCTTAGGGCTCTTAGGGAATCGTCTTAGTTAGTGCATTTCCATTTCCGGGAAGACACAGATCAGATCACTCCAGAAAAGAAGAGGGAGCGGTGCCAAAGGGATTTCCATGGATACTCCAGAGCTGTAGCTAAAGCTCCACCCGGAGCCAGCAGAGCCCGCTCTCCGGAGAGAACCTTGAAGCTGGGCTTGGCATTGGTTGAAAAAGCAAGCCCCCTGGAGAGCAACAGACTGGAATCAAAGCCACCTAAGTCAGCACAGGAGAGTTTGTCTCAGAAACACTTTTTCTAACTAGATGGAAATGCAGCTGTCCTAGAATTAAGATGCCTTCCCAGGGAGAAATCACTTCACACACTTGGGATATTGATAAAGAAAAATCTCTTTAATGACAGCATGCATCCATCTCTCCCTAATGCTCAAAGTGGAACCAGCTTAGACACACTTGCATTCCACACATGCCAATCATCCTTAAGTGTCTTTTAGGTTCATGCTCCAGGTAACACTTTGAACAAATTAAATAGAGACAGGCAATTCCCAGCAACCACATGGTGGCTCACAACTATCTGTAGTGAGATCTGACGCCCTCTTCTGGCCTGCAGGCAGACATGCAGGCAGAACACTGTATACATAATAAATAAATACATCTAGAAAGAAAGGAAGGAAGGAAGGAGGGAAGGAAGGAAGGAAAGAAAAAGCAAGCCCCCTGCCCCAGAGTGTTTCTGGAAAGGTGTGTGAAGGACCGGCCTGGGAGGCTGCTTGGGGGAAGGAGAGCTGTGTGCAGAGGGGAGGGGAGGTGGGCTTGAGGCACGGATGCTGCACCTGCATCTCCTACCCTGATGAACTGGGCACTCTCTCCTGCCTCTCCCCTGCCCCAGGCTGCTTCAGCGCCTCTCGGCTCTTCTTGGATGGTTCTTTCTTCTCTGAGTGGGTCTTCACGTCCAGATTCCCTAAGCCTGTTTAAATAAAAAAAAAAGGGGGGGAGCATTCCAGAATTCTGTCCTCAGGAGCAAGAGATGGGCAAGAAGTCTACAGATTCATCCACTCCAAGGAAAGCCCACATTCACTAAAGGGTTAAGGGGCCATCTCTTACCCACAATTCACTTGTCAAATGCAGTTTTGTTTCTGTTCCATACTTACCTGGCTCACCCAGCTCTCAAAGGCCTTCACATTAAATAAACCTAACTCCCCTGCTGTGTAGCAACCCAAGAGAGTAGGGCCCAGAGGCTAGAGCAGGAAGAACCTCCTGGGTGGGGCAAGGTTGGGGGCAGTGTGAGGGGGGATTTTGTGGGTACCTCAAAGCAGCCACATGAAAAGGTGCAAATTCCCCTACTGCCACAACCCTCTGAAGGCTCAAACCCCTCTGAGCCAATGAGTGGCCTCAGCTTTTGGCTTGGAACTGAGCTGCCTACACCTCAACCCAAGGAATGCAAAGCAGGAATGTGCTACTCAATGAGCTACTTCCCAATCCCCAAATACCAAGCCTGATGGGCAGTACGTGCTGATGTCTGTGGTACAGACAATTCAGTCTCGGCCAGTTTCAGACTACCAGTGTGTGGTCCCCAAACCAAAGGAGGACTTGGGTCTGTGATGAGTACTGGCTTCAGAGGATGCTAGGGAACCAGTGTCCTCCTGAGGCCCACAGTCAAGGGTGAACAGGCCTTAATTCCTTCAACTGAATGTCCTCTAAGAAGAAGCCAACTTCCGGGTCTTACCTCCTGTCTTGTACACAGCACACAAGTTGTCTTTCCCCTGAGAGTCTTTGGCATTTACTAAATTTTGTATATTTTTATCCAGCTAATGTACTGTTGTTGCCCCCCCCCACAACAAGGGCTAAAAGAAACAAGCATTAATTATGATTTTTCCTGCCCTACCAGCAGTAAGCCAGAGAAGTGTCAGAAGGAGGGCCCCTGTGGAAAACTGGGCAGCCCCCACAATAGTATGCAAAAGGGCACACTATTATTTGCATTGCTTGGTTTTGAACCTGGCTTTTACTATGAAGCCCAGGCTGGCCTCCTGCATCTGCCTCCCCATGCTGTGACCACAGACACACCACCATCATACCTGCTGATACTGTTACAGTAACATTCCAAAATGCCAGAGTTCTAGCAAGACAGCTTTTTCCCATGCTCAGTCTTCCCACACATGTCACGGCCCACCCTCTTCTCAGAGGCCACACTGTAGCAAGATTGGCGCATGCACGTGTGTGTGTGTGTGTGTGTGTGTGTGTGTGTGTGTGTGTGTGTGCGCGCGCGTGTGTGTGTGTTGGTGGCAGTCTGGCAGACTTGAATGTTGGGGAAAGACAATGAGAGGAAAAGGTGAATGTGACCGCTTTGTTGAAACAGAGCCTTTGAGGAGCGCTGGGTTCTCCCTCTCCCTGCTGGCCCTTTTTAGATACCATTCCCAACACCTCAGGATGTTTTCTGGGAACCAGAAGCTGCAGTCTTAGAGGAGCTGGCCCTTGCTTTCTCTGTTGGCCTCTAAGCTCCCTAAAAAGGAAAATGTTGCTTACTGACACAAAGAAGTTTAGCACATACAGGTTTTATTTAGTATTTACTGAAGAGTTCTTTACAATTACCCACACATCAATGTTCACCATACCTTAAACACGAGAGGGAAAGCCAGGTGCCATGAGCCCCTCCCAGGCCTGGTCCGCTCTGCAGCCACCCCTTGATACACGGTGTAGAAGCTGCTGTTGTGAGAGGCCCAGCTCTTTCATGAGCTTCCCCCCATCTGCTGACACTACAGTTCGTAACATCTGATGTGTACACCCAGGCAAGGGCAGCCACAGCAGCCTCCGGCTCACACAGGCGTGTTACGACAGATCCTGGGGAGCATGGAATGTGCCGGGGGTATTTAGTCCTTGAAAGTAATAGTGCTCAGTTACTCCCACTTTAGAGGTGGCTGCAGAAGGTTTGAGAAGGTTCCCTGGCCCGGGAACCCAATCCTCCTGTCTCTTCTTCCTTTCCTCTGTCAGCCTGAAGCAGAGCCCTGCAGTGTCTTGTTCCGAGAAGCCAGGTGGTTTGCCACAAAGAGCAGAGGAGAAAGGACGGCTGTCCCACCGTTCCACACAGGCTCAGCTACAGTCGGCGTCACTTCGTGCCTGTGTAGTGAAGGGAGCAAGTTAGAATAAAAGGACATGATGGCTCCTGGGTGTGGTGGAGGAGAAGGGTTACTGTAGATGAGGGGGAGAACGCAGCCAGAGGCAGGGACATCTGGGAGGGTCCAGAGGGGGCATGACTGTCTTAGGGTTTCTGTTGCTGTGAAGAGACACTATGACCACAGCAACTCTTTTTATTTATTTATTTATTTAAGTTAGAGACAAGCTTGTTTTACATGTCAATCCCAGTTCCCTCTCCCTCCCCTCCTCCCCTGCCCCCCACCAGCCCCCTATTCCATCCCCTTTCTGCTCCCCTGGGAGGGTGAGGTCTTCCATGGGGGATCTTCAAAGTCTGTCACATCATTTGGGGCAGGGCCTAGGTCCTCCCCCTGTGACCATAGCAACTCTTATAAAGAAGACGTTTAATTGGGTGGCTCAAAGGCTTAAGTCCATTATCATCATGGTGGGACTCGGCGGTACGCAGGCAGACATGGGGCTGGAGAAGGAGCTGAGAGTCCTACATCTTGATCTGCAGGCAACAGGAAGTGGACTGAATTAGACTTAAGTTGAACATCAGAGACCTCAGAGTCTGCCCCTCCAGTGACACACTTCCTCCAACAAGGCCATGCCTACTTCAACAAGACCACACTTCCTAATAGTGCCGCTCCCTAAAAGCTTATGGGAGCCAATTGCATTCAGACTATTACAGCGACCCTGAACTGGGCCACGTGAAGAGCGGGGAGAGCCGGGGGAGTAAAGGGTGGACCAGGGAACCAAAATGCTGGATTATATCAGGGAGAGCCACATGGGAAGGGTATATCCCAGCCCCTGGGATGGAGAGTTGTGCCAGCCATACCCTCTAACAGGTAGAGACTGAGGGACACTAGGAGAGCCTGGTGGCCAGGTACATTTTAATATGTTAAATAGACCCCTCAGTTAGCCCTTTGTCCCAGGTTTGAGACCTCACATGTAACAGTGCCATGACTTTGACAGAGACAATTCCAAGCAGGTTCACATACTGGGAGCTCAGGGCCACTCTGTGGGAAGTCAGCACTCCACTTAGACTTGTTCCCTCCTTCTCTCACAGTCCCTTGCCCCTTCTCCTCTGTCCACTTCCCAGCCACAATGAGTGGAGCAGCCTCCGAAACACACACCTGTGGCAATGATTTCCACCCCAGCAAGGTCAAAAGCAGCAGCTTCAGCTGACTGGAACTGAAACCTCCGAGAACATGAGCCCACACATCCTTCTCCGTGAAGTCTGACCCTTAGGCAGCTGCGGTGAAAAGAAGAAAGGACAATGGAGTATTTGGAGCCATGTTTGCTCACTGCTCTGGGGGGTTGGGGGGGATGTGGAATGGTGCAGTCAAGACTTGGCAGCTCCCTCACTGCTAAGCAGGGTTATTACACGACCCAGCCTCTTTCCTCCTAGATGCACAGCTGGGAGAGCTGAAAACCTTAATCACCCAAACAGAGGGCCCACAGAAGCTCTACTTACAATCGGTAAAAAGTGGGAGCAACTCAAGTCTTCAACCGACAAACATGCAAACAAAACGTAGTCTCTTATGCAACAGACCATAGGCCATTTAGCCCTAGACCAACAGAACATTCAACTACAGAAAAGAATGGACACTGGCACATGAGGCACCATGGAGAAACCTTGAAGTTATTCTTAGTAAAAGATACAGTCATGGAGGATTCTATAGTGGATGGCTTTATTTATGGGAAATGCCCAAATATGCAAACCTATAAGAGACAGATTAGTGGTTTTGAGGTGTTGGGTGGGTAGAATGGGGATGACTTCACGCTGTGGTCTAAATGGACATGTCCTACACACACACACACACACACACACACACAAATCTCTAATATGCAACGTGATAGTGTCAAGAAGTTTTTAACTATGTGTATTCATATGTATCTGTGCATGAGTGCAGGTGGCCAAGGAGGCCAGAAGAGGGTCTTGAATCACCCAGAGCTAGAGTTGCAGATGAAGGAGAGCCACGCATTGTGGGAGCTAGGATCCTAACTCTGGTCCTCTGCAAGAACAGTATGTGCTCTTAAGCACTGAGTCCAATAAGCCAGATCACTGGAGAGTGATGACGTTATGATTTCTCCATCACTAATGGAATTAGTGCTCTTATCACAGATGCTGAAGTCATTGCCCAAGCTCTCTTTCCCTTGCTGGTTCTCTGCCGTGTGAATAAGAGGACCCACGTTGGAAGCAAAGAGCAAGCCTTCACCAGACCAAATCTTCAGGTGCCCTGATCCTAGACGTCCTAGCCTTCAGAAGCGCGAGTCAATTTTCTCCTCATTCATCGCTGCGCCTTGCAGCTCTACAGTGATAACAGGACAGACTGCTGATTAACCCTGGGGCCTGGAGGCTCATTCTTATAATCCATCACTGGAGGAGCTGGGTTGGGGCGGGTTGCTGTGTTCCGGCTAGCCAGGGCAGCAGCAACGCTGTGAGAGCCTGCCTCAAAACAGACAAGTTCCGAACTCAGTGGACAGTTGCGTAACATTGTAAATGCACCCCCAAGCTACAGAATGGCACATCTGCTTTTGTTCCAGCTGGTTCAGAACTGGCTGTAAGATCAGGATGGCTTTAACTTGTGATGGCCCCGCCTCTGCCTCTGAGTGCTGGGATCATGGGCATGGGCCACTACACCCAGTTAGAATCGCATACTTCAAAAGAGTCATTTTATGTTATGAGAATTATAATTCAATCTTCAAACATCACCTTAAAAAAAAACAATTTATTCCTCCATGCACATTCCTCTGGAATAATGAAAATGTAGCCAGTTGCCAAAACGGTGAACACCCCCATGGGTTGGCAGGGTGGCAGCAGGGGGCACAAAGACTGAGTTTTTCAAAATTGCCATCTGCGTGATCTACATCGAGCTCGTGAAAGAAAGCAGGGCTTGTTTCTATGGTCTCACCTCTGCTCGCCGGCCACATTTTGATGACGCGCTAAATTACAGGCCCCGGGACTGGCCTTTAATTACAGAGTGCTCCAACAGGGTTTGCTGGCAAATACCAGAGGGCCATCGAAGCCACTGGTGAAGGTCGGCACCCTTTTATTTACTCTCCATGGTTGCTTCTAAAATGCAGTCGGTACCCCTCCCCCCCACCCCCCCCACCCCACCGCTCCCCAGGTGTTCGTTTCCGACTTTACCTCGCATGTTCACTCCCTCTCCAGGTGTTTGTTTCCAACTTTACCTCGCATGTTCACTCCCTCTCCAGGTGGCTGTTGGCCCAGCCTTCCAGCTGCATTTTACTCCTTCGCACATGGAGAAAGCCCATCTTTTCTACCTACTCTTTCTTCCATCCTGGACTCTGGGGACCAGAAGTCAGCAGCCTGGCAAGCTGATGAAGGACAGCAAGTATCTCCGAAGGCAACCACCCCTCCTGCTCCCTGTGGCGTGGGTGCGTGGAGGGAGACATTAGCATAAAAACGCATGTGTGCACACCCCATGCTAAAAGCGACCTGGTACCCAGCTTACAGGAAAGCAGCCAGAAGCCTGGGCGAGGCAGGCAAGAGCCGGTACCCTTGAGCTCATCGCTCCCATCCTACCTCCTGCACTAGCTAACCCTGCTGCACCCTGGGCGTTTCCACACCTCTCCCCTCTCAGGTCAAACACCCACCAAATGTTAGCCTCTCTGAAGCCCTGTCTGGCCCAGTTCCCACATCAGCACAGACCCCATTCCATTCATCTGGGGTCTCTTTGTTTATGCTCCAGCCCACCCTGGCCCACCGCCGGATGCCAGCTGTGTGTGTGTGTGTGTGTGTGTGTGTGTGTCCATGCCGTCCCCTCAGTGTAACTCTTGTACTCTTGTGAGTAGAATGACACTTTCACCTCTGCATGTCCCAGCATCCCACAGCCTGAATACTGTTCACAGCAAACCCTCAACCAACATCATTTGAACCCATTTTGAGTCGCTCCTCTGCAACTGAGCCATCCAGAACCTGTTGTCTGGGACCTCTCCGTCGGTGTGAAGTTGCTCTGAAACTGTCTGCTACCGAACAGAGTGCTTCAGAACAAGCGGAGTCTGATCAGTTGTGCAGGACGTCCATATGTACCAAGCACCGTGCCAAGAGCCTAAGACATTACAAAGAACAAGCGGAGTCTGATCAGTTGTGCAGGACGTCCATATGTACCCAGCACCGTGCCAAGAGCCTAAGACATTACAAAGAACAAATGGCATGGGTGCTGTCCTCAAGGGACTACTAATCCAGTATTGGAAAGACTAGACACAACACACCTAGGACGACCAGGAGGGAAGCTGGCAGTCCGTAGTTCACCTGCCTCCTAAAGAGAAGAGGAGCAGGCCCAGTGCAGACCTTTGTTTTACTGTGCGTCCAGTTGGAGTCTGATACTTGATTTGAAGGAAGGAGTCGGAGAAGTCCACCATGAAAAGTGAAAGCTACTTGTCTGTCCCCCTAAAACGGTAGAAGCTGGCTGGGGGGCCTCACTTAGATGCCTGCTTTCTTTGGACCTTGTGGGTGTGTTGGGAGGAACAGGCTGAACAGCAAGGGTTCCTGTGGCTCTCAAGAGGAAAGAGGCCTCACTGCCTCAGAGTTTACATCAGCTGATAGAGCAGCACAGTAGCCAGGAGGCTGCTGGATGACAAGGGACACTCAGAGCTGTGCTCCCGGCCCCCTGGCCCCTCCATTCCTGATCTTAATGCTGAACTGACGCTTGGTGGCAGTTGAACCGTGGAACCATGCCCCTTTGGGTCTACTGGAAGTTAACACTGGGTGTTGGGAAGACAAACCACGGAGAAACCATGTAGAGAGCTGAGCTGACACCAGGGGCGAGAGCGTGTCCTTTAAAACATGTGCCTTACCAGGAGGTGTCTCCTTTTCTACTTTTAGTTTTGTGGGTGCCCAGCGCAATGTGTCCCTTCCTTGTGAGCCTCTTCGTTCACGGCTAACTGTTTAAAAACAGAACAGGTTTACTGAATGGACTGCAAGGGCACTGGGTGGGGCAGAAACCAAAGCTCCGTCTACCCGCGGCTCTGTTTCTGTTGTTGAGGTCATCTCCTCTTGTGCCCTGGCAGCTGGCTGGAACAGCGCCACCAGCCTCAGGCCCCAGAGGAAGCACTAACCGCTTGTGGGTCCTGCCAGGGGCTTCAGATCAGCTGTCCTGAGGTCAGAGAGGAAATGAAGGCCCATGCTAGAGGGTGGAGCTGTAAAATAGAGCCCGCCTCCCAGGCTGCATAGGCCAGCCTGACTCAGAGAAGGGAGGCTGATGGGAGATGTCCTTCTGTATATATGTTTATCTTATTGGTTGGTGAATAAAACACTGATTGGTCAGTAGCCAGGCAGGAAACACAGGCAGGGCTACCAGACAAGGAGAATGCTGGGGAGAGGGGCTGAGAGAGGACTCAGGAAAGGCCATGTAGCCGAGGAAGGAGTAACAGGTCTGGATCCTTCTCTGGTAAGATAAGACTGTGTAGAAATGCTTAGCTTAATAGAAAGGGATTGATAATTAAGAGAAAGCTAGCCAATAAGAAGCCTGAATCATTGACCAAACAGTTTATAATTAATATAAGTCTCTGTGTGCTTACTTGGGGCTAGTTGGTTGTGGGACCAGGCTGGAGAGAAACTCCAGCTACAGGAGGCTGGGCCGGGAACCAAACCCCAGCTTTCTACAGTTTTCTGCACTGGGTCTGGGATGACACCTCTCATTTGGTCGTCACAGCCTTTCCTTCCTTTGAAATAACATGAGGACAAATTGTTGGGGTTCAAATTCCATTTCCGCATGGTCAGATGGGAGCAGGGAAATCCCTTCAATTCTCAGTGCTTCAGTTCCCATGTGTAGGTAATGATGTAAGTCCATTGTGTCAATAGGTTATATAGGTACAGCACTTGGCCACACTTGGCCAGGGCTTACCCAAAGCCAGTCCCTCCGGGACCCTGACACTGTGAGGGAATCTCTTCTCAACCACCATCCTGTCATGGTGGACAGCAACCTTGTAAATCCCAGCGCACAAACCACAAACCTGCAACTCTCTGATGTCTTGCAAACTATCTGACATTCCTCAAGTCTGCTCTGCTTTTCTCCTCAACTTACCACGACTACCCCGGAAGTACCCTGTTACGACACTCCCCTCACCACTCCTCCCTTCCCCAGACCCGCCCACTGTGTTATGACACTCCCCTCACCACTCCTCCCTTCCCCAGACCCGCCCACTGCAGCAGAGTGCCAAGCTCTGCTCGAGGCAGAGAGACTGTCCTGTTTCCTCTCCTGGACTCTCTGTTGACTGTAGGATCCTAGCAAAACAGACTTAGAATAACAAGGCTCATTGTCTCCCAATAGATAAACTGGGGCATGGCTCCCCTTCCCCCATGCCCATTCTCTGGCTTTATCTATATCTCCTTGTGTACTTCAGAGGAAAAAGCATCTTCTACCCATGAAATGGAATTCCTCCCCTGTAGGGAGAGATCTTAGATACCTGTGCCGCTGACCACGTATCTAAGATCTCTCCCTACACTACCCTTCTGCCAGAGTGAGCCCACAGAGACAATGTGCCCATTCCCAAACCTAAAACTCCACAGGGACACGTGTGTACTTAGTCCTTCCGCTCCCTGCTCCTGGTGGAAAATTGACCCTTTTGCACAAAATACACTGAAGTCATGCGAGATTGTATTGGTATTTGTGGTGGTTTGAAAGAAAATGGCCCCCAAAGGGAGTGGCACTATTAGGAGGTGTGGTCTTGGAGGAAGTGTCTCACTATGGGGGGCGGGCTTTGAGGTCTTTTTCTCAAGTCTCATTCAGTGTAACAGTCAGTTGACTTCCTGTTTCCTGCCACGTCTGCTATGATCCCACCATGATGATAACGGACTGAACCTCTGAAACTGTGAGCCACCCCAGTTAAATGCTTTCTTTGTAAGAGTTGCCGTGGTCATGGGTCTCCTCACAGCAACAGAAACCTAACTAAGACTATTAAAAACTTAAGTTTTCCTTAATGATGCCCCAGTCTAGAGAGCATGAGAGTGCTAGAGTATTACAGTGTCTTCAGCAGTGCGTCTGGGAGCAGAGATCCTAAGGCCTTGGCCCCATGGGACAGGCCACAAGAGCTGGGGCTGCTGCAACCCCATGAAAGACTTGGAATGGTGGGGGCTGGAGGACAAGGAGCCCTGTCTGGGCCCTCATTCTACCCATGTTTTCTTCCTGAGAATATACTTGATCACTGCAACAGCCACAGCTGTGTATGGTGGTGTCCACATAGCAACAGTCACAACAGCCAGCAAGTGGAGATAGTGCAAATATATGCCCACAGATATGAGTACAAAATGCCATGTGTTGTATGAGAACGACAACCCTGGATGTATGCATCTAGATCACGGGTTCAGGCAGGAGGCTTACAGCAGGCAGGTTAGGGACTTGCTAAAAAGTTATGGTCTGAGGAGAGGACCCAAAGGAAATAAACGGGCTCATTCACACACACACACACACACACACACACCACACTCACACTCTCACACACACATACCACACACACCATACACACACACATCCACATACACACACATACATACACCACACACACACACACTCTCTCACACACCACACACACATACCACACACACACCACACACACACTAACACTCTCACACCACACACACACCACACACACACTAACACTCTCACACACACACCACACACATACACATACACACATACACACACAACACTCACACTTTCACACACACCACACACACATACACACACACCATACACACACACACACACACACACACACCACACACACACAAACACATTCCTTTCATGGCTCTTCATTCTTCAAGAAATGTTCTTCCCAAAAGTTCTCTCTCAAAAGCTCTCTTTAAGATTTCTCCTTCAAAGTTCTCTCTCTAAAAGCTCTCTCCTAATGTTCCCTTTAGAAGCTCTTATTAAAAATTCTCTTAGAGATCTTCCTAAAGATTCTCTAAAAGGGCCTTCTAAAAAGTCTCCAAAAGTTCCTTCTCCCAAAATTTCTCTTAGATCCCACAAGGCTCCTGGATTTTATACCCACAGGCACACTTAACAGCTCTCTGACGACAGGGCATGCATCTCTCTCAGAGCCAGGAAGGCGGGTAGAGTCTTGAGAAAAGCAGGTGCCTCACGTCTCCCCCCGGACATGACTTGCAGAAAGTCCTGACAAACTGAAGTCTCGGTGCTGCTAACTGATTAAAGGGCACTTCTCAGCACTATATCAAAGGGGAAAACTAAGGCTATGGAGTGTGAGATTGGAGGCTGCAGCTCTTACCGCTGACGCCCTGGTGAGAAAGATTTCCTTTCTCTGGGGCTTATGTGAGAATACAAAGTACCCGGTATATATTCTATTAACAGCTAAGTTTTTGGTAACATATAGTTAGGGCGG